AACACTTATACGTAGTATAAGTGAAGTAGAGTTCGTATCCACAGGGAAAGGAACAATTCTCTTTTTATGAAACTTAGTAAATAAAGGAGGGTTTTAGTGATGAATGATTTAATTAAATTAAAAACTAAGATGAACGACTTATATGAGATTTAATTCAAGAATAAAAGGGACTTGGCTTTGCTACTTTCCACTTGTTGATATATTTTAGTCGATCCTTGTTATATCCATAACTTATCCCCTCTCGAATACTCAATCGAGGAGTATCTCCAATTCATCGAGGGTAGTTATTAAGAACGACCCTTCATTAATAACCCTTACTATTAATCAAATATAGAACAACGCCGTATACCGATATAATAGTATCATTCAATATTTTTAACTCCTTGATGAAATCAATTGAGATTGATAACCTCAACACAACGGTTTCGGTTTAACCAACAAAATTGATCCCTCTTAAGTCTATTAACCACGACCGCTGCATTAATAAACCAAAGTTACTTACTTGTGAAACCACCAACGATTAACCATCGGTTCGTTGATCGTTTCTAGTAGTAATTAATGTCGGAACGTTAACTAATCGTCACTTAGCAACCCTCCAACATTAGTATAGAATGAGATTAAGGGAAGAATTAATAATCATGAGAAGAAGTTAAGAAAATAACTCACAACTTTAATAATCAACAAGCTTCAAGAGCAAAACCAAGAAATGGAAGTTTAGCTCCTCATTTGGAGACTAAACATGCTATAAAAATATAAGAAATGCTATTCTAAACTGAGCTTAGGAGTATAGAAGAAGGGATGTGATTTTGTGAAGGAAAAGTGTGCTATTTATAGATGTTTTTCAACACCTTTGGTCGGGTACCCGACCGGGTATAGTACTTACCCGACCGGGGTACCGGTCAAAATCAGATCATTTTCCACGTTATTGTGTTTCAGCACGTTAAAATGTCCCGGGTCAAGTCAGACTCGACCGGGTCAAGTAGGGGACCCGACCGGGTTTGGTCAAAAATCAGATATTCTCTCATTCCGGTGATCTTTGGCACGTTCTGGTGTTCCGGGTCACATCTGACCCGACCGGGTCAAGTTGGGGACCCGACCGGGTCTAGCTCTTTCCTCAGGGAATCGGTTCTTAACTCAGACCCGACCGGGTTCAGAGTCTGACCCGGCCGGGTTTTGTGCTCCTGGACATTTTTATCTTCAGCTTTTCCTCCCTTTCCTTGCTAAAAACACTACCACAATTCTACAACTACACATGAAAGCTAAAAACAATTACAAACAACATAAAACAAATGTTTACAAACTAACTAAAGATGATAGAAAATCTACACAAAGTCAATACAAAAACATACATTTATGCACTATAAACTAGTGCATATCACCCTCCGTGGCCGCCTGCGGAGGGATGTGATGTTTGACCTACCGGTTGCTGAGACAAGACGGGAGGCGGCCACGGAGGGCGGCCGCCCTCCATGGCCGCCTGCGGCGGATTTGACGCGTACACGTACCTTTGTCGGGGAAGTGACCGAAGGCTGTCGGCCATGGCCGGAGGGTGGCCGCCCTTCTGGCCGCCTGCCACAATTCTCCTCCTATAAAAGCCCTCTTCCATTCCCATCTCAAAACACACCATCTCACACCCAAATCAGATCAAAAAGGGTGTCTTCTTCCTCCTCAAAGCTCGGATTTCCACCATTGTTGGACCTTCAACTTCAATTTTTCCTATCTTTCTCATTTTAGCTCCAATTTGTAAGTTCTTTCTATGAAAATTCATCTTCTCGTCGTGTAGATTCTGAATATTTTGTTTTTATTTTCCAAATGTTAGTGAAACATTCTCTGCATCAATTTTAAGAATTTTGTATTTTCCATATTTATTCAAGAAAAATAGTTCTTGTTATTATATTAATCTCCTACTTAGATAAACTCAATACCTAGTATAAATGATGTTTATTTGTGACAGAAACAAAAGTATAGATTTTGGGAGTATTCACTTTAATATTTTATTTTGTTGTTATGATTTATGATCATGTCTTATTTTATATGTAAAGTGTTAAAACTAGTAATGAGTTGTTGTAGTTAATTTACTCTTGGGCATGAGTTGAATTAAAAAATATGGATTGACCTTGTTTGACCGAAAATTAAGAGTTTAACTAATTTTATGAACTAGTTGTTTAAAATGATTAATTTGATTACTTAATAGATTTGGTCATTTCATTAATTAAACTTTGGAAGATTATTTATAACTTGTCTATGAGATTATAAATAGTTTAAGCCAAACATATTGAGCACATTAATGAAGCCTAGAAATAGGATAAATTAATGGATAGAATTTAATCTTTATCTATGAGGAATAAATTCAATTGTTTAATATGAGAAATTTAATTAATTAATGAAGTTGACCATTTTGTTAGCTAAAATGCGGAATGTTATATCTATCTTGTCTATGAGATTAGAATATAATTTAGGCCAACCATTTTAAACACATAAAAGAAGCCTATAAATAGGATAAATTAGTGAAAGTAACTTAAATCTTGTCAATGAGAAAAGAAATTACTAGTCCAATCTTTAGTTATAAATACTCCTAATTATTAGGTCCAAGCTAAAAGGATGTACCTATATTTAATAATTCAATTCATTGCCCTTCTTTGATCAATCCATTTAGAGTTTAATATTATATTTTCCTTTTAGTTTATTTTTAAGCAATCATTAGTATTTGCATAATTTAATTTACTTTCTTTTTCAAAAAGTAGTTTAGAAAATCAATCAAAAGTTTTAATTTGGAAAGCTTCCAATAATTTGCGATAACATTTGACTGGACTTAAAATCAAGAAACTCCTCCGCCATTCCTCAAGAGACACGATACTTGGGGAAAAACCGAAAGGTTAAACTCCGTTTTACTACAACGCCGCGTAAGCGGTCATCAACTACACTGTCCTTAACTGATGGGGAATTACTTGCTGATCGTACTGAATATCGCAGTATGCCAATATGGTTGGCTCTTTACAGTACTTGATGATTACTAGACCGGATATTACCTATGCTCTCCACTTGGTCTCTCAGTTTATGCATGATCCCCGCACTACTCACCTTTTGGCTGTGAAGCGTATTTACATGTATTTACAGGGCACTATTACCGAGGGTTTATGGTTACGCAAGGGCGGTGATCCCTTGCTTGTCTTCGCTTACTCTGATGCAGACTGGACCAGTTGTCCTGATAGTTGTCGGTCCACCACTGGATATGCTATATTCTTGGGTGATAATCTGATTTCTTGGCGTTCCAAAAAACATCCCACTGTTTCCAAATCTTCCACCGAGGCAGTATATCGCGTTGTGGCTTATACTGTTCAGGATACTTTGTTTATTCATTCCATGCTTGTGGACATGGGCTATTTTATTTCTAAACCTGTTCGGCTTTACTGTGATAATGTTTCAGCATCCTACCTGGCGGTTAATCCCATTCAGCATGACCGAAGCAAGCACATAAAGATTGACTACCACTTTGTTCGTGAGCGTGTAACTCACGGTGATTTAGTTGTTTAATATATTCCTACTCAGTTTCAGTTAGCTGATATATTTACTAAAAACTTGTCTAGTCAGCGCTTTAATTTTCTTAAGTCCAATCTGCGTGTGGTTCCCGCTGCACATATTGAGGGGATGTAATAGATAATACTGTAGGGATACTTTTGTAATTACTTATTCTTAGATTATTATATATACATGCATATGGCTACCGCTAGGGTAAGCCATTCTGTCTTAATTCTCATAATTATAATATATGTATGCTGCTAAAAGTGTAAATAACTTATTATTAATGAGTTATTAGAACATATTTTCTCATGTTAGTTTAGGAGTGAAAATTTTAAGCATTGTGTTTGTACATATTCTTCAATTACATGTTAATATTCCAATACTTCAAACAAAATTTTATTATATGAATTTTAAGAGATCCTTCAACGTTTTCGACTCAGGCCCTAAATTTACTAGGATCGGCCCTGTTTATAAATATCAATAAAAATAGTCAAACCAAAATATTTCGTGACTCATATTCGAGTGTATATGTCCACGTCTTCTAAAAAGAGTACACATGTTCAGTTGTGCAGCAGTTCGTATACCATACAATCGTCCACGATGTGCATGGTATACCATCCCAAATTGCAGTGGGCTTTGTTATTTTTCATTTCTCCTTTTCTTAAAAATGTTAATAATTTTTTTTTTTTGATCCGATTTTTATAAAATTTATATCAATTTTTTTTTATTTTTCATGATCTTTCAAATGAGACCAATATTGCCTATGTAATTTTAACATATTAACATTTGCGTGTAAAAATATGTAACTTTACGTGTTAAATTATATAACTCACGTTTAGTTAGGCCAAATGCAACTCGTGTGTATAAATATGTAACTCTACGTGTAAAAATATGTAACTTTACGTAAAAAAAAATATGTAACTCGCGTTCAGACAAGTCAAATGCAACTCGTGTGTATAAATATGTAACTCGCGTGTATAAATATGTAACTTTATGTGTAAACATATGTAACTTGACGTGTAATCATATGTAACTCGCGTCCAGGCAGGTCAAATGCAACTCGTGCGTATATATATGTAACTCGCGTGTAGAAATATGTAACTTTACGTGTAAAAATATGTAACTTCACATATAAAAATATGTAACTCACATGTATAAATACCTAATACAATAATTTTATATATGCACAATTTTAAGATAAATCGTGATTTACACAATTATTTTTCTGTATTAAATTTAGTTCGGTTTTTCTTATAATCCAATAAACATTTGTATAATAGTTCCATAATTTGTTAAAATTACATAAGCAATATTGGACTCATTTGATAGATAATGAAAAATAAAAAATTTAATATAAATTTATAAAAATCGAATATTAAATAAAAAAGTTATTACAATTTTTAACAATAAAAAGAATAAAAAATAATGGAACCGGACCACCGTATAATTTGGGGTTGTGCAGCTGTGCAAACAGTAGAGTTTGGCCGAATTTTGCCAACAGAAAGTTTGGGATTCGATAAAACCGATCTGCCATTTAACCTCCGGCCACGCTGAGACGTCGGAGAGGGCTAAGAAGGATCAGATTTGTGTTTTGACAACCGGAAATGCCAAATTTCCGCTCTAAAAAGCATCTCAGGTATTCCAACCTCAATGTTTTCCATACTTATTGCTCGTTTCCTTTTCGCGATGTCCCTAAACCCTCCCCATACCCATTCCAAGCTACCCCTTCTTCAAACTGCGGTTTTGATCTAAATATACTCTCGTATAAGCCTTATTTAGGCAAATATTCATCTCGAACGCCCTCAAAGAGCAATTTTGATCTCTTCGCTCACCCACAAATTCGTTCTTTTAGTTTTAATTCTGACCCCTACCGCCTTTACAACAGCCAATCTACCCTTCCACAGGCTGCCTGTAGGTTTTGTAGTTCAAGTTCTATAAATCCACCTAGATTCTTCTCTGCTCAGAATCTTTCGGAAACTATGGTCTATAACGAGAAGAGTGAGAGTAAAGCTATGATGGTATCGGGGAGTGGAGAATCTAGAAGAAACGCCAATGAGATTAACTTAGTTACACAAATCGTTGACATCGTTAGGAGCGGTGGCGAAGATTTTAGGTCCAATTTGAGTTCAATGTCGTCTTCACTTGACTCTAAGCGAATTCTCATGAACACTTTTAAGGTTCTGAATCAGCTTAGAATATCTGGATTGGATTTTTTCAGAACTCTTGTGGAGATGAAACCTATTTTGTATAGAAGTGGTGATGTCTGTAGCCTGATCATCAACAATTGTGGGTGGTTGGGTGATCAGGAAGCACTGTTATCTTTGCTGCAAGAGTTTAAACTGCAAAGTATCTGCCTCAATCAAATGGCATTTGAGTTTTTACCCCCCTCTGAACAAGGTAAAGATGATCTGATGGAGTCTACTAGAAGAGTGATTGAAATGTTAAACAAAGTGGGCGGATCTTGTCTTCATTCTGGAGTTAATGTGTTAATCGAGAAGTTTTGTTTTTTGAATTTGTTCCAAATGGCTAAATTTGTGATGGAAACCACAGATAGGACAGTTCGTCGGTACAATATTTTGATCCGTGCAAGGTGTAAACGAGGTCAAATCGAAGAAGCACATGCCACCATTGAAGAAATGCTTGAACACGGTCATCTCCCCGAGACAAACACATTCAACTATCTGATTGGGTATTTGTGCAAGCGTGACAGGATGGATGAAGCGTGTCAATTGCTTCATAGAATGAAAGAAAAAGGGCCTCCTCCTGATTCAATAACGTTGGAAGCAATAATATATCACTCAGCCATTCGAGGCCGTCTGGATGTTGCTTTCCAGTATCTTGACTTGACTGTAAATCTGAATATTGTACCTCGGCCCACTACTCTTTCAGTGATTCTGAATGCGTTGTTCCGAGCAAAACAACACGAGAAAGCATATCAATATGTTAATGATATGACTGCCAAGTTTAAGACCTCAAGCAATACGCTTTACAACTTGCTTGCAAAGCTTCATTTGAAAAACGGGGATCCTGTCATTGCCAAGAACATCTTAAATGAAATGGTCAAGAAGGGGTTAATGCCAAAATCCTCTACCTGTTTAATTTGTGAAGTAAGTGAAGGAGAGTGACATCGGAATGACAGTAGCATGGGATTCGGTCCATATTTAAGGTCCATGTTGCGATACCTTTAGGGCTTATTTGGCATGCAAAAGGCTAGCTTACATGCTACGTATGATTTATTTTTGTAGGTATGTATGTACTTTTTAGATAAGCTTGTTTGGTTGGAGGATCTTTTTTTCACTGGTGCTTCAATATTTGTGTCATGTTTTTAAAATGTGCTACATGTGCTTTCCTTTATAATTTCATTTGAACCTCTTTCTGTTTTGGAAATTAAGTTCTAAACCCGTGCTTATTTCAAAAGTTTTATGTATGTAGGTTTGAATTTTTTCTTTTTATTTCATTTGAAATTTTAAGGCAGCTTTTCAACGGCTTTTGTATTGCTGCTTCAGATTTGGAACTCTGTTTTTAAGTTGGGAATGCTATTCTACATTTGTAATTTAGCTGTTCATGGTAGCAAAGTCCTTGTAGGTTTTGGTGTGTTCTTTCAGAGTCTGGGATCTCCTTGCATTTTCTGGCGTTTTAGTTTTTGTGCTTGCATTTTATTTTTGTTACTTCGAAGATCGTTTACAGTTATTTACATAGCTTTTCTACTATTTTTGTTTACTTCTATGTTTGTGTGTTAACTTGTTTACCTTGTTTGTTTGATTCCATGCTTTTGACATAGGCACAGAGTCCACATTATCTTTTACTACGTACCATTTATTAGTGTTTCATCTATAACAGTTTCTCTACCCCTTGAAATAAAGGTAAGGTTTTTGTAGATCTTACCCTCCCCAAAGCTTTTATATCTAAGTGGGATATACTTGATTTGATTTATGTGTCCGTGCATCTTTTTAGTAGCTTTCTTCTAAACGCATATTAAATTTACTGGATTAACACTGAATTAGCACTGGATGAAAATATGAGAGCATTGGTAGGGAGGGTTGGTTCCTTAACCGTTCGTTGTCCACCCAAGTTCATTGAGAAGCAATTTCCTATGTGTATTCTGTGTACTATGAGTTATTTATTTATTTGTTTTGGACTTTTGGATTCTTAGATATGCTTGATTTTTGGAGTTGATTGTAGCAGGTTCGATCAGATGGCTGAAAGTTTACATTCCATTAGTCTTGGCTTGAAGAAAGGTCCATATTAATTGGGCATGAATAACATATTATATAACCTTTAATTTATTATAACCGTTCACCACCCACACATATGTTAGAAGTCTTGATTTAGTAACAGGCTAATTCTAAATTTATTTTCTGTTCCTTTTGATAATCGATGAGAAGACCGAGGCGCTTTGGATTATGTTCTACAATTTTATCAATTGGCAGCATGTTCTTGCACTAATACAGCAAGACTAGTCATGACCGGTTCCGGGCTGGGCCGGGCCTAACCGGGCTTTGTTTTGTGGGTTAAGGCCCGGAACCGGCTCGGGATTCTACCAGGTCTGGGCTGGGGTCGGGTTAGGTCAGGCCGGGTAACTTTTTTGTTGATTTCCTAATCACTTCCAACCCCCACACCCCAAACCCCTCCAAAATAGGGGTGAACTCGGGCCGGGTGGCCCGACCTGGTACCAGCCAAGAATCGACATTGTGTTGAACTCGCCCGGCCCGGTGGCCCAGCCAGTGACCGGTCCGGGTAGGCCCGACCCGAGGGGTTCCCAGTGCGGGCTCGGGTTACCCAAAAGCCGCACTGGGCCGGCCGGTTCGGGCCCGGTTCTGGGTTTTTTAATTTTTTTTCAATTTTTGTTAACTTTTTGGGTTGGGCTGGGTATTTTGGGCCATTTGGGGTTGTTTGAGGGGTTGGGGGTGGGAGGGGGGTTAATTAGGAAAAGGAAAAAAAATATTGACCCGAGGCTCGGCCCGGACCCGGTGGCTACCTGGGCCGGTCCCGGGCCCACCTATTTAGAACTGGCGGCCCACCCCGGCCTAGGCCCGACTTGGACCCGGCTCGGCCCGAATCCACCCCTACTCCAAAACACCTAGCCCAACCCATTTACCTCCCAAAAAAATTGGAACATATTGGCATGTTGTCAATCTCATTAGGGATGATTGCGGATTGCTATGATCCATCATCCATTGCATGAAATAGATTTTAAGAGTTTTTTCCCGGAATAATGCTAATTAAATAAATAAATCCCAAAATACTGCTCGGTTTAAAATAATTCCCAAAATACTGCTTGGTTAACCGTGGTTAAGAAAAGCCGCTACTTGAAGTGGCGGCTCTTCTCTTATAGTACAAAAGCCGCCACTTGGAGTGACGACTCTTTTCTTACGACCCATTTTATACATATATAAAACGCATTATTTTTCAAGAATTTGTTTAACCACCTTTCGGATTCAATTTTGAGCTAAAATTTGGTATGCATAAACTGGACTTGATGAGGAACATGTTCAAAAAAATTCATCAAAATATTTCATCGGAAACACCCTCTAATGGTGTTGTCCGCGGGGGGTTCCGGTCAGGACGTCATGACAAAAGGGTGGTCCGGCCACCTCAATTTGAGGTGGTTCTCGGTGGTATGTTTTGATGAAATTTTTTATGTATGTTCTTCATAAAATCTAGTTCATTCATACCAAATTTTAACAAAACATTCAATTCGAAAGTCCGTCAAATGATTATTGAAAGATAACTACGCCGAATTATACATATAAAACACAGTTATCTTTAAAAAGTCATTTAACTACTTTTCCAATTGAAATTGGTTCTGAAATTTGGTAGGGATTAACTAGACTTAATGAATAACATACACACAAAAAAACAGCAAAACATCACACCGGGAACCACCTCAAATTGATGTGGCCGGACCACCCTTTTGTCATGACATCCTGACCGGAACCCCCGCGGACAACACCATCAGAGGGTGTTTCCGGTGGATTTTTTTGATGATTGTTTTTGAGCATGTTCCTCATCAATTCTAATTTATGCATACCAAATTTCAGCTCAAACTTCAATCGGGAAAGCAATTAAACAAATTATTGAAACATACTGTGTTTTATATATGTACAAATGTGCCGTAAGAGAAGAGCCGCCACTCCAAGTGACGGCTTTTGTATTATAAGAGAAGAGCCGTCACTTCAAGTGGCGGCTTTTCTCAACAACGGTTAACCCAGCAATATTTTGGGAATTATTTTAAACCCAGCAGTATTTTTGGAATTATTTATTTAATTAGCATTATCCCGAGAAAAAACTCAGATTTTAAACCTTTAAAGTATATATATTAATAAGTACAAAACCTGCCCTCCAGACATGTGTACGTGTATCCGTGTATACATTTGTGTACGTGAAATTGTCATAAATAGGACTAAAACGTTTGTATATTCTAAAATAAAACTATTGTGTTTTTATTTTTAAATAGGAGTAATTAATGTCATGTTATGCCAGCATCGTGCTATAAACATGGCCGTTCCTGACCATTTATAGGCTCGGGACAAAAGACAAATAGTAGGTCCCTAATTATATACGTCATAAGAATGTATTACAAAACTTTGATTGTCAAAATTAAAATTCGTTACAGAAGTAATTGTTTTTGTCCATAGAACTACTGGTATCATAAGCCATACAAAACAATTTTTAGGGGTTCTTAGAAGCAAAATTGTCAATAGTACTATCAATTTTTAGTTCTTGACTTCTGTGAGGAAGGTAGAAAGTCACCTGGTCGTGTTTTGTGTAGCTCTGTCGTTGTGTCTAAGTCTACGGATATGAGGGTTGATGGGTATCTTTTATGGAGTATTAGAGTATAGAGAAATGATTTGGTCAGGCGTGCCTCAAAAGATGTCCCGTATAGACAAGTCCATTTGAGGAGCTTCAAGGTCGAATTTTTTGATAAAATTTTGTGAGGGTATTCTTTATAAAGATTAGATTATTTACACAAAATTTCAATTTCGAATTCAATTGAGAAGTTAGTTAAATTAAATAAATTATTATAAAACACTGCGCTTTTTAAACATATATGAAGTGCAATGTTTTCAATAATTTATTTAACAGATTTCTGGATTGAATTTTAAACTGAAATTGTGTGGACGTAATCTATACCTAATGAAAAACATGCTCACAAACTTTTATCAAACAATTTAATCCGGAAGCACTTCAAATGAGCTTGGCCGTACAAAACTCTTTACTACAAAAAAAATACGGGATTGACACGGATTTTTCGATAATTTCGTGTCACTAGCTCGTGTCAAATCGTTTTTGAATTGGCATGGATTTGCCATATCCCTGCCAAAAACCTTGCCAATTTTGGGAAATCCCTGCCAAAAATCCCTGTCAATTCTGTGTTTTTTGGTAGTGCTCGATCAAGCGCGCTTGAGGTGAACAAGACTCTATATATATACTACTACTAAATAATTTATGGGCCCCTCTTCCTGGCGGACCCTGGGCAGTCGCCCATCCTGTCCCTATATCAGGCCGCCCCGGCTATAAATTTGGTATTATTTTCCATGTTCGGGAATAAAAACGACAATCCTATTATGGAATTTTCAAACGTTTTTATTTATATTTCAAGATTTTCCCTTTATATCCTTACATATATAGGTAGTATATGCATGCATTTTGGTAATATACATTTCCACATACTTGTTATGTCTCTAATTTTTAGATGTATCAACTAGTAGAAACATTCAACATTCAAATGCCTAAAAGATAATTGAAGAAATTATTTCTACATAAGTCAGTCTTGGCTTAAGGTTTCCATTGGAAAATGACATTGATAATTAAATAAGACATTGATAAGTATTTTATATAATAGGATCATTGATGATGACTATGGTGTTATAGATGCATTATTTATAATACTTAGTTATTATTTTTTTTTATTTAGAGTGTTAAATATTTTCTCAAATAATCATGACATAAAAAAAGAGCTAAGTGAGAACTTTAAGTTGAGATGGAGGGATTATTATTTATTTTAGACCAAATTTTCTAGAAAATACTAGGCCTTTTAACTATAATATGCTTTGAAATAGGATGTCATGTTTTAGTTCATACAAAAAACAAATTAACTTCTTTATAAAAGAAAACAAAAAAAAGTAAATCCTGATTACTCACATGAATATACTTTTTTATATTCAATTTGTTTTTATACATATACTGTCGGAAAAGTTTGAATCAACAAAGTGTTATATTAAGACATAAGTTACTCCTCCTATCAGGTTGACCTTTTAGGATGGAACCTCGTGTCTTAACATGATATCAGAGCCAAACTGATCCATAACCATGGTGTGGGACCCCTTATGAAAAATGACGACACGATTAAAAAATGATAATGCCGAACCGACGAAAAAATGACTGACGGCACAATCCAGACGAAGTGTCTGGTCATGAGGAGGGGTGTTAGAATCTCACACCGGAAAAGTTTGAATCAACAAAGTGCTATATTAAGTCATGAGTTACTCCTCCTATCATGTTGACCTTTTAGGATGGAACCTCGTGTCTTAACATATACATATTGCATTTTTTGTGATATAGCATGGATCATTTATTACTTGTGCTATGTATTAATTCATCATTATGTAATAGATCCTAAATCAATGACTTGTGCTATTATTTATTTCTAGAATAAGTATTTTAATTCTTAAATCAATGAGTTGTGTTATTGTTTATTTGTGAAAGTCAAGAAACTAATAATATTATTGATGTTAGGAAGAAAAAACTAAGATGAACCAATTAAAACAGTTCATCAAGATAAAATATTTTGGTTTTTTTCTTTTACCTCTTTATGATTATTTTATTATGAAACAATATCATTGAATTATAAAAACTACTGCGTATAAGTTAAGGGACGCAAACACGTAAATACGCAAACACGTATATAATAAAAAAGTTTGAAGTTCCAAAGGGGGCAGTTGAGCCCGTACCCTCCTAAATCCATCCCCACATGAACCCCATAGGTGGTACAGGGAAATACGGAAATACCTAATGAACAACATAAATGCTATGAAAACAATTGACTAAAAAGTATATTCAATAAATAATACAAGTATACAACACAAATCTCTCATATGTGAGAAGTTTGGAGTTCAATTCCCATCAACAAAGTTGAGTGGGGTCTTGCTACCTTTGGTTCTCCTTACCTTCACGAAGTAATTCAACGGCTAAGGATGGAGAGGATACTAATGAAGGTAGTGAGTTGTGTAGTTGGAGTAGCAACCTAGAAGCATGTGGTTCAAGTAATGTCGGACTTGTCCTCACTACTAGAAAAGGCATTATTAGAGAGGAACTAGATAGGAAAATATTTTGCTATCTAATTTAGATAGGAACTTTGAAAGGAGTCGCATGGTGTATAGTTAGGTAGGAATTTTACTTGTG